CACACACACACACACACACGCACACACACAACTTTTTACTTTTTTTTTTTGCACACATGCACGTGCACCACTCTCTCGCGCATGGCGCACAGCGCCCGGTGCTGCACTGTGCAGCGTAGTAGTGCGCCGCAACTATGCTACATACTGTTTTTTCTTGCCAGTTGGTGGCGACTCTGACGAGACAGCATTGCTGACATGTTAGCATAGTAGAACAATAAGGCATAATTTTGGGGAAACATAAAAATAAAAAAAGACGGCCTGATTTTTGGGATATCCTTTCGTTTTTTGTTTTTATTTTTCCACCCCCCCCTCATAATGGTCACACGAGGACCTTGTGAGTTTTTGAAACTTTTTTTGGTCCTCCGGAACATCCATTCAAATTGGAACGGTACAGAGAAGGAAGATTAGGATGGCCCCTGCACAAGGGTAATGCACACAAAGACTTGCGACCTGTACAGGCTGGTGTGATCTTTCCCTCTCAGGGAGACAGGCGTGCTGGCACCCGGTGTTTCACCACATCAACGCGGATGGTCATTCTACTCTTTTTATTGCATGGGGAGGGGGGGGGGGGGGGGGGGGGGGGCGGTGTCTGCTCAACTATATTAGTGAGCCAGCCTTGCACTCTCCATCCTTTTATTTCTTGAGGCTTCTGGGGAAATCTGCTGTCGATCTTGGGAGATTCTATAAAACGCACTCTATCCCTCTCCTCCCCTTCACTCCCTTCTTCCCGTTGTGGACACATAAAGCGGTCGCAAATTCTACGTGACTTGCGATACCTCTGTGAATGTAATGCACCTGTGTGTGTGGTGCGCGTGAACAGGGTGGGATGACACACGGGACATGCTCACCATGGAGGTGTGCCGTGAGTATATGATTTATAGTAACTATATTTGAATGATTTAGTACTTAGTCTGTATTTCAACAGTTGACGGGTGTACCGACTGAGCAAGGCTAGTTGGTTCTCCTCCCCATCTTTGCAGCACATGGTGCGGTTAACTACAATGTGTGACAGTGTTCATATCCCTCCTCTTTTTTTTTCAATCCCCTGTTTCACTATGTACTGCCATGTTGGGATCTGCAAGGAAGATGAGCAATAGCGAGCTTCAGCAATCAAACAGCATCATATACACAAGACCAGATAGTCTTGACCTCGAACCAACAGCAGAATTGAATCACGAGTTTCACCAAATAAGAAGACACCAAGAGCTCATAATTGACAATGCTGGTAAAGTCTCATCATCATCATCAATGAAGAACCAATGTTGATATCCTATTTGGCGCTCGGCGCCCAGACTGCAGATGGCAGATCCTATCTAGCCTAGACAACAATGCCGAAGATGACGTCAACAGCTTTCCCAAAATACGAGCATACAGCGACCAATGTTGCACGCTTCCAGCACCAGGTATGTCTCTCGCCTCACTCACCACCTCATTCCTCAACACACAGATGCCACTTGCACCCAAGGACCACCCTGCGCCTCCCCCAGCTCACAGCAGCGCAGCTCGGCTATGGCTGCCTGCTCCTTCCTGCTCGCCCGTGAGCGCGTGAGTGCCAGCCAGCTTCAGCGAAGCAGCGCTTGCGCAGCATGCAGCCAGCACCCGAATGCCAAATGCGGAGGCAGGGCCTGCCTGGTTGCTGTCCCAGGCTGCGCTGGGCCTTTCCCAAGAAGCTTCCGGTAGGCCCCGGTAGGCTGAGGCCCAGTCCACACAACTCAGGCCCTGGGCCTGTAGTGGTTGCTCGCGCCCAACTGTCAACGGCCTGTGTTAGGCCCTCATCCCGTATCCAGCCCAGGGCCTGCCTTCGATACATTCAAACAGGCTGCCCAGGGCGTGGGTTCTTCCAACCAACTGSYRCTGCGCAACTRCCTGAATTTCCTTGAGTTGMGTGGTGAYCGAAATAGGGGCCCTCAGGYCCTCGTCGTGCMTGCCTTCACTTAGGGCGGCCGACGTGATACTTGGCAGGGCCTGAAAGGGGCTCATAGGGGCATAAGCCTCGCATTCCCTCCTCCATAACTTCGCTAGTCCCCTGAGAAGTTCAGTCTTCGATGATCTGGCACTTTCCCTTCTTCAGAGATTTCTCATATTGAGCTACGATCTGAGGAGCAGTCTACATGAGTTCCTCCCTAGTGAACCAGCGGTCCTCCTTTGGATCCAGATGATGTCGGAACCGAACTCGGTACTGCAGCTTCAGTTTGGAGGACGACCCCTGCCTGTCGGTCTTGGAACGGGCAGCTCCCTGTGATCCACGATGTCGTCTATGTCCACCTCTCCATCCATGGTTGGGGGCAGCATCGAGCGTCGAGAAGGAAACTGATTTGTTTCCTTGAAAGGTGCAAGCTTGGAGGCGTGAAAGACAGGGTAAGTGTGTAAGTGACCAGGGATGCGAATAACATAAGACGGGCCATCCGGTTCATTCCCCATGACATCCAATACCTCCCACGGTCCAAAGTATTGTGGCATGAGTTTACGGGATATCCCGTACTCCTGTCCCAGTTTGGAGGACTTCACCCAGACTCTTTCCCCTACCTGGAATGTAGATGGGCGGCGGTGCTTGTTCTCAGACTCTATCATCGCCGCCTGTGCTTTGTGCATCTGCTCAACAACCTGCTGCATCAAGTGCTCATATCTATACGCAAACTCTAGAGTCCCTGGTGAAGCAGTCGGTTGATTGTCATGTAGTAGAAAGTCTAAAGGTCGTCGGGGTCTGAAGGTCAGTAGCCAGCTGTTAGGGCTGACACCGGTTGCGCTGTGCACCACATTATTGTACAAACTGGCGATGAGAGCAAGTTTCTCATCCCAATCTACCTAATTTGGCTTGATGTAATGCCTTAGCAGGTGTTGTACAGCGCGGTTCATTTGTTCAGCCTGCCCGTTTGCCTCGGGATGATTGCCTGATGTCATCTGCAGTGGCGTGTCTTTCCCTGCAGTTGTTGCTTAAGTTTCCACAATTCGCTGGTAAATCCCACGTCCCGGTCGCTAACGATAGACTTTGGCAATCCAAAATCTCTTAACCCAATTCTCTTTAAACATTTTAATCATATACTCTGTCTTAGTTGTTGCCGGCATTGCAACTAACCTAGCAAACTTACTAAGCCTATCCACAATGACGTAGATGTAGCACATTCCACTCTTGCTGGTGACCAGTGTATCCATGAAGTCCATGGTCCTTTTCGGAATCGAAAGGGGCTTCAAGAGCCCAAGAGGAGCCTGAGTACGTGGCTTGTCCCTCGGACAGACCTAACAAGTCTCCACGTACAACTTAGCATCTCTCATCAATGTGGGTCACCAGAACCGCTGCAACAGATTGGCTGCAGTCTTCTTGAAGCCAAAATGTCCGGTGGCATCATGACATTCTCCTAAAAATAAACTACGCAAAGACTCCCTATTAGGAACACACAAACGTTTATTCCCAGCCTTCTCAAGGAACAACAAGCCGTTGACCAACTCAAACTCGGCAGAAGTCACTTTGTCCTTCGCCTCGAGTGTGCGGATGATCTCAGACATGAACGGGTCCTTGCGATAGGCTTCCACCTATGAATCCCCTGCGGCGGCGGACAAGCGCGGCCAAGTCCACGGCCGCGGACGCGCGGCTTTGGCGCCACGTGGCGGCCGCAGGGAAGGGGGTCTCGGAATTTTGGAAGCGCCATTGGGTGGCGCATCCCCTGCCCCACCTCCCCACACAAAAAAAAAAGAAAAAAAAAAAACAGTTTTTGGTTGGGGGGTTTGGGCTGCCCAGGAGAAAAAACGAAGGAAAAAAAAAAGAACGCGTTTTTTTTTGTTTTTTTTTTTTCCGATGATTGATTGATTGATTGATTGATTGGTGGGGGCAGGGTCGCCCCACCCCGCCTGTGATTGATTGATTGATTGATTGATTGATTCGATGTTGCAATTTTTTTTTTTGTTGATTGATTGATTGATTGGTTGGTTGGTGGGGGAGGGGTCCTCCCTCCCCTCCCCGGCACACACACACACACCCCTCTCTCTCTCTCTCTCTCTCTCTCTCTCTCTCTCTCTCTCTCTCGTGTGCG